TTTACTCTGTGAGTCTTCTAGACAGGCCTGGGCTGGACGTGGTGTTTGTCTACATGTCAAGACCCTATTTCACTGAATTTCTTTTATGACAGTCAACTGACTGTACTAAGCACCCACTGAGGGCACATCTATGCCAGGCACTGCCACACACTTTGGTAGTTTCACACAAGACAGGAGGTGGAGCAAGGAGACCACTCTGACCGGAGGCTCCAACTGTACCATAGGGGCACCCACATGCCTCTGGTGGGGTGGGCGCTCCTGGTGGGAGACTCTTAACTTCAAAAAAGTCCCAAAGGGTGAACTACTCATAGGTAATTTCATAAAAATAGGGAAAACAAACTCAAACAGGAAGGCCCTTGCTCGTGAAGGGATCAACAGAGTCCATGCTCCCTTATAATCATGTGACACAGTCCATACCCTTCATCAGGATGGAAGTTAGTTACCATGTGCAAGTATGGCTGCAGTTCCCACCCCACTGGACTCAGGAAGAGCCTGGCCTGAGGCCTGCTCTGCCGAGTTACTCCCACACCAGGCAGCATACGTTCCAGAGGCCTGAGTCCTGCAGGTCTGCCTAGAGGCAGAGGCATTCTGCAGTCAAACCAAGTCAACGGCCAGCAAGCAGATCAGGGCACCCAGACTTTTGAAAACATGGGCCTGCTCATTTGGGAGAAGTTCTACCTGTATAGTACAAACTAAGCGCTAAATTCATTTTTTAAAAACTTCAAGCTAAAAGTGAAGTCACCAAACTGTGTAATCTCTGAAAACCTGTCATGTCTGTAGACTGCTTTATTGCACAGAATCCAAAATGTGGGCTAACCAGAAACCAGTTTGAGTTCTGCACGTTCCAGTTACAGGGTTTCAAACAGGAGACCTCAGGGAGGAAGCGTGCTTTTAGCTGCTCTGGGCCTCAGGCATGTCAAGGTCAGGATCTGAGAGTACAGCAGGTAGTATCTTCCTTTAGGAGAGCCATGAAAAGGACCTGATCTGAGCCACAGGAGGAAGCTCTAGGTCCCTTTCCCACTAGTCTCCACCTGGAAGGAGACTTTCATAGCTGGTTCTCTCATCCCTCACTTCCACTGTTCCTACATTTCATCTAACAGCCAAGGCTGGTGTCACATTTCACACACGTGGGGTAGAAAGAGAAAGCAATCATGAGGATAGGGAGGAGACAAACTGGCGTTTCTACCTACAACTGGCAGCACCTCCTCTATCCTGAGGACTCGGAATGGCCATGAGGGCTATTCTAGAGTGTGACTGAGTCTGAAAGGCCAAGTTCCAACTGCCAGCACTCTGAGGAAGAAAACACTTGCACACATCAAACCACCGTCATTTCTGGGCCAACTCCTTTACCTGACCCGATTACCACACGCTCCGATGACGGAGCACTGCAAAGCCAGGTGCTTTGGCACAGCCTCCGAGCTATTAATGATCATCCATTTGTAGATACAGAAGCTTTACTCTTCAAGAGTGTCTGGCTTAAATGAACAAAGAGATGAGGACTTTCAATGGGTTAGAATGACACCATAATCTTCAATCTGACACTCCCTGGACCACAAGCAGAGGACACACATGTAAAATACTACTGGTAGCCTTAAGAGAGGCGGCTGTGGTAATGCCACAGACACACCCTCGCCCCCCATAGAAACCAAAACCTACACATACATAAGCATGCGTGTGCATGCACACTGTGCCACAGAGAAATAAGATGTTCGTCAGCAGTTCTGCCTTGAAGCAAAATTCTTAATCAGGTTATAAATTGCTCTATTAGCATGCACAAAGTCACTTCATGTTGAACTCTAAGTAACAGTATAATTCACGTGCTCAGATCTTTTAATTTCCTTCTTCAGAGGGAAAACGAGCACACAAGTAAGGCTTGTGTCTCTAGGGCTGTGGTGTATTCCTGGTTTTGTGTGTTTGTTTGTTTAAGTAAAAATATGTATCATACCATAAGGGAAAAAATAAAAGCCTGTGCTCATGACAAGCTTGGGAAATGAGAATGTCTTTTGAGCAGCAACACCACCGGCTGGGGGAAGACCCTCTGATGGCTGACCCACACCAAACACTCATTAAACACTGTAGGACTGGTGACCCAGGACAAATGAATCCTAGCTACTAGTGTGCAGGGCTGCTTGGTACTAGAGGAGAACTCTGTGGTGTAAACAGTGCGACTTACCTACACCCACACACACCCGAGAGGGGAGGCTCAATAACTTGACCTTCTGACACGACTTCCTGTGCCCATCACTTACTCATGTCATTTAATCCTCCCAACAACTTTTGAGGTTGGTGCTAACAATCATCTCATTTTAGAGGTGTAGAAACTTGAGGCTCAAGGCTTACGCCATCTAAATCCTAACCCATGTACCTCACAGAATTTGAATGGTTCTCCTTTTGTACCTCTATCAATGGAGATGCCCTGACCTCTGTGCAGAACTGTCTAAGCAGAGTTCGACTGTTACAATGCAACACAACAACGAGGCAGGTTCACTGGGCTGAAGAAGGATCTGCCCATCACACCTTACACCTGTCAACAGCCCTGGACCCAGGCCTGTGACCCGGCAGGCACGGCACTCTCTCCTACAACTCTTCTCTGGGTTTCTCTGGCCACATTTCTCACTTATAAACAAAGCACCTGTGTCTGCCCCACAGTAAAGTTTGGACAGTTAAATGTGACCTTTTATAGTCCCCAGGACCACAAGGAACCCTCCCCACTCAGGTGAAAAGCAGTAAAGACAACAGGAAGTATCCCTGCATCAAGTAAAGGAAGCGTCAAGGCAATCCCTGGGGTGTAACTCAGTGACAGAGCACCTGCCTAACGTGTCAGGTCCTGGGTCTGACACTGAGCAACTAAAGACTCACAAGCACACAAACAAACCAACAGACCCTGAGGTTTTCACTTAGCCTTGGACACATTTTGGAATGTGGATCGGTAAGCAACAGCCTGCTGCTGAAGCAGCAGGTGGATGATGCAAGGAGGTTTCATTCGGAGAGGCTACCTCTCAGCCTGCACGGTATAGCACAGAGGCCACAGCAGCATGACAAGAGTCATGCCCACACACACTTCTGTCCTCAGCCTGCCACCAACACCACCTGACAGAGTAAGGACACATACCTGCTGATCAAGTCCATAGGTGTGCATTCCCATGTGTGCTCAGCTGTTGTCACAAATGTGACCTTCATGTCCTTGCACATCAGTTAATGGTGGTTTGGCTTGTTTTCTTCATTACCCCATTATTCCTAGGTCATGGCAGCTCAGTTAGCAGCTGCTGGCTTTTTAAGAATCCCTGCATCTACCACCGTGTGGATAGTGAATAAGTGATCAACAAGAAAGTGGACTGGAGGCGCTTTCTGCACGGGCAATATGATGTCACTGTTGGACTTCTTTGCTAGGCACAGCCCCCACGGCTCACACCTGTCATCTTAACATCGTGAGGCTGAGAAGGGGAACCACTAGGTGTTCAAGGACTGCACGGCTGTGTGGTGACCCCCAGGTAGCATGGGCCCCACCATGAACCCTGTCCCCAAACAAACTTAAGCTACTCCAGAATTTTAAATAAATCACCAACCAGAGCTAAAGGACCATGGGTAAACACACATCACAGCAGCAAAGCAAGAACAAGCAATGTTAGTAACACACATTCTAATTTCCAAAGAAGCAGAAAAGCCAACAAAAGTAAAAACATCAAGTAACTCTGTAGCAGGCTGGAAAACCTCCTAGGAGTTCCTTCCCATGAGGAAAGCTCTGCATTCAAGCAGAACAGGCCCATCAGGCAACAGGTGTGTAAAAATCTACATCCAAACACTGGTAACTGGGTGAGAGAACTCAGTATTTTGTCATAAGCCTTCTGTTTCTTCGTCCTCTGTAAAAGCACTGCGAGCCAGAGTCAGCCCCAGAGAGAGCAGTGCCACCTCAGCAGGGAGAGCCACCAGCCCGACCTAGGGGTGTCTCGAGGATATAGCTACAAACCTGGAAAACCCTTAGAGTAGATTCAGACAATGCTCGTGCTACATTTACCGCTTCCTGAGTATTAATCTCTAGTCATGGTAATTAGGCTGGAAGAGTTCTGAACTCTACCCTGGAAGCAAATGTGAAAATAAGACAAATTATGATCCTTTCTTGCCTTTCTAAGATAGGGTCTCACTGTGTAGTCTTGACTGTCCTGGAACTTGACATAGACTAGGCTGGCCTTGAACTCACAAGAGATCTGCCTGCCTCTGCTTGAGTCCTGGGATTAAAGCTGTGAACCACCACACCCTGCAATGACTCATTTTACATAAAACAAGTCAGATCCCTCCTTTAGCTGATGTGCAACAGTTTATAACAGAGTTTTAACAGTAGTTTAACAGGCTGTCCAGTGATCCTCTACAGCCAGCTCTGCACTGTTCCCTGAAGTTGTAACCACCCTGTTAGAGGTTGGCTGCTAAGAAAATCCTGCTCAGGTCAGGTTTGGGTTTTTAATGTGCCTCCTGGTCTGTCAAACTAATCAGAATAACCGGGATTGCTTAAGGGATTCATTTAGTGTAGCACATTATACCACACAACTATGTTGGAACCGCTTTTCCTACTCCATGAATGGAGTGAAGGTGTGCTCTAACTGCATACAAATACTTGCCATGAAGACTGCTCTGGTGTCCTGCTCTCCAGAACCATAACTATCACAAAGGTCAGGAAACCCTGGGTGGAGCGAACCTGTTTAGAGCTGATGCCGACTAGACCCCACTACAAACCTTCATCTAACACAGATTTCCATACTGTCCAGAGTCAGAAGATGTCACAGTCCCCAAAAGCAAACCATTTGCCTCTCACAGCATGGCTCTGTTCTGTTGCTAATGCAGCACACACAGGCCAACTGCAAGTGGTTCTAAGTCCTCACTGCAAATAAAACCCTCTGTGCAATTTTCATTTTTCATTTGAACACTACCGCCTCTTGTAAGACTTGGGACCTGTCAACTGTCATGTTGCCAAGACTCCACTTGTCAGCAAGGTCAGCAGCCAATACCTTCCAGTTAGGTCCCAGGGGGCCTCTCTTGGTCTTGACTGAGTGGAATAATGCAGGGTCTTCATCAGCTTTGTAGTCCTGTAAAGCAAAACAGAGTCGGAGATGAAGAAGAAAACCAGAAGCCATCTTTGAACCTTGCCAGACGGCTTTCTGCAGTGAGAGACCCTGTGCTTTGACACACAGAGGGTGCTGTCCCCACACGGCACCTGCAGCTCGCATCCCATTACTTTTTACACTTTTATCTCAACTATGTAATTAGGACTGTTGAGTGATAGCAGCCCACCAAGACTAGCTGCTGGGCTGTTAAGTGTTTCATGGTTTTAGCCGACAATATGCAGACATGCTGAAGAACTAAAACATGCCCACCTCACTGTCTACAATGCCTGCACGTGGTGACACTGGGCTGCTTTTGCCACTGTGAGCCACTACTGCACTGGAAACAGACCAGATGCCCAGCTTCTAGGCTTCCCTCCTCCTTTTCCAGCTGGATCTGTGTCCTCTAAGTCCCTCACTGTCATGAGAGGCAGGGACGGGTGACTGAGGATCTTCAGTGACAGCAAGCCACAGATGACCCCAAAATCTATGATTCATGCACGTAAGCCGTTTTCCTCAGTGCAGCCTGCCTGACAGATTGTACTTATCCAAAGTTCCTGTCCCTCTCCCCTCCTCCCTCCATCCTCCACTCTCTCAACAGAAGTAAAGTTATTTTTGGAGTATGCACAAATGATGGGAACTTCACTAGCTGTCACGATATAGGCCCAGGGTCAGTCTAAAGCCTGGAGACAGCGCTCCTTCCAGGCCAGCTTCTGAGGCCCCAAGGTGCCTCACAGCACTGGTGAAGGGCACAAACACTGCAGAAAAGTACCCAGACAAGGCCTAGAGGAAACCCTGGCTAGAAACCGCAGTCCCTAGGTTAAGAGCTGTTCAAACAAAGCATGCACAGAGCATGCTCCAAAGTACAATACAAACTTTTCCAAAGCAAAGAAAGCACACTGGCAAGTGGCTATTGGGAAGTGACCAGTTAGTAAATGCTAATAATTCCTAGGGAGGGCTATAAATAAGCCATGTGAAAAAGAAAAAGAGTGAGGATCAGGAAAAAACTAAACTTTTAAGAAGCATGCTTGGGTAAACATGACTGTGGACAGGAAGGCCATCTCAACACGGTCTCAGAAGCTAGAGAAAGGGCTGAAATTATTAAACACTTGAACCTGTCTCAATGATTTGGAATAGTTAATGTGGTATGGCCAGGACATGAGGCCAGTCAGCATTACGCAGGAAGGATGCACAGGGATGAGCTGCCCTGGAGGGGCAGGACAACCAGAACCAGAGTCACTCCATCTGTCTGGGCACAACAGCACTGACTTCAATCTCTGCCAGCCAGGATGAATTTGTAAATTCCAACCCACACCTGCATCATAAAAACTAGCATGCCAGACTCAGGAAAGAAGGAACTGAACAGGTGATCCCAAAACTTGCATTCACAGAAGTAAGCTACCTAAACAAACTCATATCTGTAAGTCTCCAGACCATTCTCTTCTAGCACAGAGGCTCAAAATTAAAGCCCATCTTTCTCCCAAATTAAAAAGCAACATTATATCAAACAACCACTTCCAGCACCATTTCCCTCCATCAAAGTCCCCATGGAACAGCTACCACAGGATGATAAGGGCCAGAACACAGGGCGGGTTCCTAGCATCAGTCTACTTGAAAGAGGCATACAAGACAAGACAAAACAAAACAAAACAGGTACCCAAACCCCAAGAAGTATGTATTAACTACCAAAAGAGAAGAGAGAACATTCAGTCAGAATCAAAACCAAACAAAACCAGTCGAGAACACACCCCTTCCTAAAGACAAGTGGCCTTCATATTTAAAAGTAGAAAAAAATCAGGTAGTGGTGGAGCACACTTTTAATCCCAGCACTCGGGAGGCAGAGGCAGGAGGATCTCTGCAAGTTCGAGGCCAGCCTGGTCTACAGAGCTAGTTCCAGGACAGCCAAAGCTACACAGAGAAACCTTGTCTCACAAAACAAAAACAAAAGTAGAAAGGCAGGCATACCATGTTTATAATATTTCAACAATTAAATTCTAATCATCAGTCTAATCCCCAAAAGGCTGGCCATGATTTGTCAGCCTATTCTCTGAGAAAGAACCCACCCCCACTTTCTCTTATGGACTGGGGTGTGATGTGGCTATGGCCATACCAGCCATGTTTTTCTTTTTACAAAACCTGAACTGTAAGGGAAATGAATAGTAAACACGACATTTCTGCACGTGGTTATAGGTTGTATCATTGTTTTATGTGCCATTAATAATAAAGGTGCAGAAGGCTAATACGTTATCACAGCAGGGAGACAAACCTCGATTCTGGACGTAGTCAACTGTGAAAGCGAAGAGGGGAGCAAGATTTCAGGACTGAGTATGGAGAATTGTGGAGGTGCTGTGAACGTTAAGCCTGCCCACACCCATGGGAAAAGTAAGTACATACACAATAAAGTGTACACAATCACCTCTAAGGTTGAAGGAATAAAACCAATGGCATTAAATAAAGGCAGTCCATACACCAGGGCCAAGCAACTCACGAAGAAGGGAGAACTCGGTTTAAACTCTGACCACATCAATCATTTCCAGGTCTGCCACAAGAGACCAGCAAAGGTGTCAGCTAGAGAAGGGTCAGAATAGAGAGATACCCCGCTCTCTTCTACCCCAGCTTCATGCCAGGCAGACACTTCACACATCTACAGAACCCATTTGCAGTAGATGCAGAAATGAAAGAGACTGAAAACCTTGTGAAAGTGCCACTCAAGATCTGACACTAATTCTGAAGGCACACCTGCGAGCCTTCGTCATCAATGTGAGGGAGCCATGGCTGCTTTTCTAAAACGCATCATCAAGCTTACCATCCACTGAGGAACTGACATGGCTCCCTATACCTGGACTTCAACCACTCTTTAAAAGATTTGTTCATTTTATGTGTATGGGTGTTTTGCTTGTACATATATCTGTGTACCCCACATGCAAACATTGCCCTCAGAGGCTAGAAGGTGGCACTGGATCCCCTGAAACTGGAATTACAGAAGGCTATGAACCACTATGTGGGTGATGGGAACTGAACCCTGGTCTTCTGGAAGAGCAGCCAGTGCTAATCAACTGAGCCATCTCTCCAGTCCCTACTGAACTCTTTGATCTCTGTCTGTCCTGACTCACATGACTGTATCACACAGGGCAGCTATAGGTGTCAGCCATCCAAGGAAGTAAACATTTAAAAGACCAAGAAGCCAGTCCCAACACCAGGGGTGTCCAAGTGGGTCTTCCTGAGGTGGAGACACAGAACGAAACCTTTTCCTCTTTGTTTTCTTCTCTGGAGTGCACAGCAGAAAACATTAAAGACATTACACTGAAAACGTAATATAACCCAATTATCAACACTAGCACCTTAACTCTGACAGGTGAGGACAACGTACCTTGTCAAATCTAGACATTCTGCGTTAGCTAGTTTGAATCTGTAAATGTTTAATCAGTTGAATTAAGTAGTATAATATGAAAAGCCAGGAAGCGGATGTAGTTTTCATAACCTCAATTTTGTATTTCTACAATAAACACTAATTTCTTTTTTGGATAGCATCTTCTTGCTGAGTTTTATTGTTGGGTATCTGATGTGGTCTCTGGATATGAAAACTGGTCGATTTATATCCATATCACAATGAACAAATATATTCCTTCATGTATGACAGTTTCAGCATACAGAATGCAACCTCAGCTACCAATTACAGCTGCAAATGAGCAATAGTGTGGAATGAGACAGCCTGCTGGCTTTGTTAGTATTCTGTCTCCTCTGGGATCCCAGGGGAAAGAGTGGCTCTGATGAAGAGAAGCCCCTGGCTCATGGTTTATTGTGCTTGCCACCAGCTGCAGACTTCTCATCTCATTAGTTCTTTTAGAATACTGTGGGTGAAGACAGCTGCAGTCTACTTGAGTCTTCAGCTCCTGGGTATTCTGAAGGCTGAATCTGCTATGCACTTTCTGTAATCCTTGGGAAAAAAGAGCAAATTCACTAGGCCAAGGAAACACACTTAAAAAAAAAAAAAAAGGTTTTAAAATCAGGTTTAAATGGAGTGAAATCTTATTATACTAAGGTGCATTTGTTTAACATTTTTTGTGATATAATTTTAATTATCCAGACAATGCCTAGAGGCCTGGTCAGGATAAGGGCCTAGTGAAAGCATCATTATCTAGCGAGGTGCACCTTCCAACAGTCCTTGCTCCTCCAGCAATAGTGCCCGAGTGACACAAAAGCACAGGACGTGAGACACACTTGCATTAGTGCTAACCAACACTGTGTCACCGAGACTCTTATTTAAGTAAAAATGAAGGCGAATGGAGTCATGATCCCCTTGGAGAACAAAATAAAGTATGATATGGTAAATAAGTGGATTAGTGTCTCCGCACTGGAGTCACAGAACACAGTCATTAAATTCGTATAAGGAGCTGTTCTGCCCTGAAACAGGAAGGCGGCACTACCTCTCGGGTACACAGCTGTTACTGACTGCCACTCTCAACAGAGACTCAACAGAAACCAGGTTCATTTTGAAGACAAAGAATATTAGTTTTATGAATCTTTTAGCATAGTGGCTGTCCCCCCAAATGTAAGCATAAAACCTTTGCTGAGCCAACCTAAATATGTCCTTGAGCCCAGATTTAACTCATGATTATGAATGGGGAAGGGAGTAGGAGGTGAGTTTCTTGACAGCTTGTGGAAAATCAAGATGAGCCCCAGACACCAGAAACTGCTTAAAAGTGTGCCTGGGTTAGCACAGGCGAGGGTAAGCAGAAACAGGAACAGCTACTCAAAAGCACCAGCCTTAGCAACCTCCCTCCCCACACACACCTGCTCATAAAGACCAGGCCCAGCCCAGCCCACATAACCCGCTGCCCACAGGGAGTTTCACAAAGTAAACATTAGGATCCTGCAGCCCGCTATCAAATGTTCTACTTTAGCATGCGATGATTAATTAGGTGTCTATTCCAACAGCTCAGAGATAATCACTAAGTTTAAAATGCATGGGTACTACTGCTCAA